AGTATTGTTCTTGCATTGAGAAGATAACTCAGTATTCCATAACTGTGGGTAGATGATAAAGTGAACATGATAACTGAATCTATTTCATCAGTGTCCTACTTTATGTATGTTCAAGGAGTGACTACCGGGGATCCTGCAGAAAATAAAATTCCTTTCTGTATAAATAATCATCTGCTATAAAGCTGACCAAAATAAAATCTACATTTGTGACTTTTATCAGCTGATTAGATATCAATCACTTGCCCTCTGTATGATTTTGCAATTTCCCAATTGTTATGTTGTCTGCAAATTTCATCAAATAAGTGACTTTTTCCCAAGTTTTTAACAGAAATATTAATATTGTGAAGCTGCCAAATGGTTTCTCCAAGACCCCATTGCAAAAGTGACTGTTGAGCACTGATTATTTTTTTTGTATACATACATCTGGAAGCAGCCATTAGAGAACTTGGAATCATTCTAGATGTGCCTTGTTATTTTTGTGTTAACCAAGTTTTTAATCAAACTGTCATGTGGTACCAAGCAAAACACCATTCAAAGGTCCAATTATATCCACAGCATTATTTTTAGCAATTCAAAGGTTAATTATACCAAAATATGATGTAGGTTACTTTGAAAATATTGTAACCCACACAACCCTTTGATTACCATTAACCGTATTTCTTTCCTCCCTTTTTTTCTGAAGTCTGTCATAGGCATTGCACTATTTGATTTGGGAGTGCTGTCAGGTGAACTGGCCTATAATTTCACAGGTCATTTTATTTGCACTGCTCTAATATTTCAAGACTAGGAGCTATCTACAATTCTTTTAATGTCTTCCCCCAGTTTTCAAAGTTTATCAAAATCAGCAGTATTCATATAGAAAATCCTTAAACAAGCATCTCTCTTAAAACTAACTATACTATATCCTTATTCACTGGAATTACACATTTTTTCTCTATTTCCCTTAATTTCTGTAGATAGTTATGATTAAAAATATGCTGATATCTCTGGAAGTTAGATTTATTCCTTTCTAAAACATTAAGTATACTTCTTCCCCATTACAGCGGTGTGACAATGCAGGGAGAACATCTCTTTCATTGCTTTGCTGTTAAGGAGAAAAATTTCCAGCTTTATTCTCTCCGATTTCTTCAGATATTTTGGTATGGTAATTGCTGGTTATTTTACTTAGATTATGTGTACATGTAAAAGAAGCAAGAAATCTTGATTGTCACAAGGTTCTGGAAAATTCTCCAAATAGGGTAGAAAAAATGCAGCACAGTTTATAGCCAACTCAAAAACTCCTCAAAGCCTTTTTGCAGGAGGAAAATACCCTGGAATTATCATCTTACAGATATTGGCTTTGCTGCTCCAGACTTTAACCCTTGCATTCACTAATTGAAAAGTTAGCTTGTAGCAAAATCTTTTTTTTGTTTTTCAGTGAGTGATTTATGCCTTCCCAGGGTTGATGGTACCTGAAGGGAGCCTACAGGAAAGATGGAGAGAAACCTTTTACAAGACTGTGTAAAAGGGTTTTTTTACAGGACAAAGGGGAATGGCCTCAAACTGAGAGAGAGTAGGTTTACATTAGATAGTAGGAATAAATTCTTTCCTGTCAGGGCAGTGAGGCACTGGCACAGGTTGCCCAGAGAAGCTGTGGCTGCCCTGTCCCTGGCAGTGTTCAAGGCCAAGTTGGATGGGGCTTGGAGCAACCTGGACTAGTAAAAGGTGTCCCTGTCTATGGAACAGGAGTTGGAACTAGATGACCTTTAAGGTCCCTTCCAACCCAAGCCATCCTGTGATTCTATGGCATTTTTAACCTGGATGAACTGATTGGACTTGATGATCTTAGAGGTCTTTTCCAGCCTTAATGATTCTGTGATGGTAAGTGAATGGCTCCATGAAGTGATTCTTAGCTTCCTTACGAATTTTGAATTTTCCTCAGCATTCACTGTTCTTAGACTTTTATGGGCCAATAACCTAAATTTATCTTTTATGTTTTAGAGGGCATTTTTTTCCTAAATGAAGACAAACATTTGTAAAGAGGTATAAGTTGCAGAACATTATTACTTTGTGTAGCAAGTCAAAGGCTCTGTTAGCTGTTAGGACCAAAAGCCAATGTTATATCCATAATTCTCTGCGCATTGCTGTGGTGTGAAGGTTGCCTTCTGTATTGTGCAATAATTTCCTAGTGATACTTTTATTTGAAATGTTAATTTTTGTTCTTATGTTTTTTATTATTAACATTATCCATTTGGAAAAGTGCATATGTTTCTGTGCCCAGATTTTGTAAGGAATTAACACACTAAGGGCCTGATTCACTGCTACCTCATTCCAGCTCTATGCCAGGGTAGCTCTGCTGATTGCAAGGCACAGCTTACAACTGAAGGAACACAGTGGTATAGTGAGATCTAAATGTTAATTGGAATGATGTTCATTCAGTTTAACTCTTTTTTACTGAGCCATAATACAAGCAAGGATCTGGGGGCAATTAGAAATTCACTGGAAGTGCTTAGGTGGCCAAATTGGGTGCATCCAGCAGATTTTGGAGAACACTCATAGCCTAATACTGTGATGGGGTTTTTATGTCTCTTTTCTGATTTCAAGACTTGAAAGCATTTTACAATATAAATGGGTATTAAGGTCAAAGACTAAGTATCTGCATCTTAAAATGTGATTAATAATGGTGAAAACAGGGAGCTCTTATCTCCTGTGACAGCGGATTGAAACTGAAGATAATTAAAATGGTATCAAGCTATGTAATGTGGTTTTCTCAATGGCATCATTGCAGTCTGCATCTGATCTTGAAGAAGTACAAGTTTCTGCACACTCTTATCAGTGTACTCTGTAAAATTACTAATGTGTACAAAGGTGTAGATTGAACTCTACGTATGGGTTTAAGCATGTAATTTAGGTGCCCTCTCACTTTAAAATGCTTCCTTTAATCATTCTGTTCTTTCAGATATGTAAAACAGCTACTAGAACACTTTTCATGATGGAAAATGCAAAGCTATTGGAAACCTTCAACAACTAGGATTCATTCAGGAATGTGTTGTATAGGTTCAATGCAGTCAGTTTATCCACCCTGGTTATGAAGTAAATACTATTTGACAGTATCACTTTATATTCAATACCAATCCACCAGTGTTTCAAAAAGAATCATTTAACAATGAATAATGCTTGATTGTAGATCTCTGCAGTAAATTAGAATATTCTAATTTAATAGAGTATGATCTGTTATTTGCCAACAAACATACAGATTGCCTTATAAATCATGCAGTAGTATGGTTATAGAATAACACTATACTGGATTATATTTCATTACTCCCTATTGAACAGTCATGTTTCTGCCATGTAATGTAATTTTCCATCTTTTAACTTAGTTTCTTTTACTAACAGAAATACAAATTAGTCCTGAGGAAACATGTTTACTCGGAGCAGGCAATTAACTGTGCATTTCAGGGAATGGCACCAAGTGCATGAAAATCATTAAAACGATTTTTTGGGTTTTCACCTCACTGTATGTAGCTGTTTATGTATTTAATAAATCATAATGAGTTTAAGGCCACAGCAGAGGAAATAAAAAAGAACAGGGATGTATAGATTAATGAGGTTTCAGACACAGGTTTTCTGCAGTGTCTATTCTTGTTCATATCAGTCACTGACACTTCAGAGAGAGATTTCCCCTGAACTCTTCTGTTAATGATTCAAAATACTTAAAGTGAAGTATAATATGGTTTTTGTTATTGCCTTATGACTATTTATCCTGCTTACCTTGCTTAGCATTTATATTACAGAATCATAAGCTTCCAAAATAGGGAGCTTGGAGTCAGGGCATTTATACTAATTAAAAGTCCCTAAATATTTGCTGTGCATATGGAGTGGAATTAAAGAGTTAAATAATATTGCATCCAAAATCATTCTTACAGTCTGGGAAAGAATTATAAATAATTGAAGCAACTTCCATGGTATAATTGAAAGGCTTTATCACAAAAAAAAGTGTATGCCATTCTTTCAGTATTTTGGGAAAGGGGTGATTGAACATCGTAAGTAGTAAACTGGATTGGTACAGTACTTAGAGGCATTTTTTTAGCACCTGCTTCTTTGAGGATACCCATTTGGCTTTGCCAAGTACCTAACTCACATTGTGGAACATTGAGACATTGCCTTGGAAGTCCCATTGTATGCTTAGAATCCTTTTGATAAATTTGGCCAGGGATATGTACTTTATTTCAGTGTATGGTGGAAGCTTGCTGACTGGAAGTCCCAATGTTTTGAAGTTCAACAAGTTCTTAAGGTCTCTTACACCCCGAGGACCCCGGAACCTCAGGCAGAGTCATGCATGGGAGAAGCGCAAAGGTATATGTACAAAAAGCCTAGTAATCATAAAGTAAGATTCCTTGTAAACATAAGTAACTCACATATTATAGGAGCTGCAAAAACCTGTGGTTAACTGTTTCATCTTTTTATTTCTGTAGGGGTTTAAGAATCTCCTTTCATCTTTTCAGATGGGATTCTCTAACAAGCTCAACGCTGTCCTCACACTGTTCCTGTAGACATCATTGAGGGTGTTATCCTGGGCTTAATAGGAATAATTAGAACAAACTGGAACACTTGGGAAAAATCTCTGTTGACCTGTTTTGTGGTTTCTGACATGTGACAGTAAATTTTTAAAGGTTTAACTGAGAAGTAACTTTTTTTTTGTGAAAAAAGAGGCAACTTCTTCAACCGTAGAAAAAGAATCAACAACAACAAAAAACAGACAGCACAAGTTTTTCCTTTGAATTATTAAAAAATGTAATGTGAGGCATCACAGTCTTACCTTTACTGTTCAGTGCGTATTGTGGCCGGTGCTGGGTACTACAAGCTATCCTGAGGGAGAGGACTTGCTTCATCTTTAATGAGATCTGGGAGGATCCTGACTTCACTCAGGAAATGGTCCAGTGATCCAGTCATGGCTTAACCTTACTGTATTTTCTTTTGGAGTAACCTTGGTATATTTCATTTTTCTTTTCTGTTTGTAGCTGGACAGTGCCACTTCTCTCATCCAGGCAGCTAAAAATCTGATGAACGCTGTGGTCCTTACAGTGAAAGCTTCATATGTGGCTTCTACTAAATATCAGAAGGTCTATGGTACTGCTGCAGTGAACTCACCAGTTGTATCTTGGAAGATGAAGGCCCCTGAGAAGAAACCTTTAGTAAAGAGAGAAAAACCAGAAGAATATCAGACAAGAGTGAGAAGAGGGTCCCAGAAGAAACATATTTCCCCTGTACAGGCCTTAAGTGAATTTAAAGCTATGGATTCATTCTAAACCACTAAGCTTTACCAGGAGGGTTTTATATTCTTTTTGTATGCATACCTGCCGACTTGTATGCGTCTGGCATGGGGGGGGAAGCAGTGACAATTTGCATGCGACCTGACACTCTATTCAAGTAACTAACTTTCTGCAATGCCAAAATTTAGGGCATTGCCTTCTGATGTTAAATGGACTTACTCCAAGCTTCCTTTTTAAACTAAACTATAGCATTAAATTGGCCAAAGAATTTGCATCACAGGGGTACGTGTGGATTAAATAATAAATTCAAGTCTAAACCCCGAAATTTTTATGCATGCAAGAAACATTAGGTTGGCAGGTATCTTCAGTGAAAAAAAAAAAAAGGAATTGTAATGGTAGACCATAAAGCTTGTATTGCTTCTGTTGCAGTGAAAAAATGTACTAGCCAATATGCTTCAATGTGTGGCCCAATAATTAAATGATATAACTTTTAAGTCATCTTCATCATAGTATGTGAATTTTTAAAACAGATTCAAACTAATTCATCTTAAAAATGCTTCTTTTAAGCCATTTTTTGTTCTTTATATTCTAGTAGTGTTATGATTGCTCACATTTCAATTAATCCCATTAATATGACCAGAGGTTTACTTTTGCCAATTGAATTCCTTATGGTGGAGTATGAAGCACAATATGGTGATTGACATTGCCTTTTATATTATGATTATTATTCTGATTATTATTATAATATTAGTAATAGAAGACCTGGTGGTGGAATGTTTAGAGACACGGAAACTGACAGTGTGAGAATTTAGAGGCAAATATGTAGGTGTAGCTTGGATTACAGGTATCTGACATACCATTGTAACCACTAACTCAATAAACTCATTTAACCTTGAAATCCTCAATATGGCTTTTTTCCTTA